GAAGACAAGTGGCTGCCCCCCTCTCCTCTCCCTCCCCTGCTCCTGGTTAATTAGGGAGGTGGAGCACTTGTGATCAATCCTTATTCAGGCGCTTTCACCTTGTAGCCCCGGGAATTTCAATCGCCTGTAGTTTTAGAAAAATGGCCCTTTAACCATCACATCTTCAGTAAGAAGACCATCAACAGTCTGTGTGCTTCTATAGCCTGTATACATACTTGTATCGTATAAGTTATGCTCAGTTATAGAAAGTGTAGCAAATACTACCGAAAATAAAATTTAACTGAAGGAAAATTAAAACAGCTTGTAACCACGCCACCTAGAAGCAGCTGCTGTAAAGGTTTCGTCTTGGCTCAGTACTGCTTTGTTTTCACGCTAAGTGTCGTGTTGTGTTATCGTGGCTCCTATTCATGTGTGCTTCTCTCTCCCTGGTCATTCCCGCCAACCTCAGGACCCCTCTGGCATCCTCTCCAAGGCGACTGCCACATCTCTCTCCTGCCCTTGATTCGGTCTTCAGCGTCAGGTCTGCACACTGTTCAGTCTGCAAATACACAAAGTGGACAGGTGCCCGAGCACCTCACACTCAGGATGTTCCCCATGGAGCTCATGCTCCCTCCGAATGCCAGATCCGCTCACCGCCTGTGTCTCCTCACCTGCCACCCTCTCAGTGATCCCAGTGAGAATCTTCTCAGGGGCTCCTGTCAGCCCTACCCACGGCCACTGCCCTGCCTTCCTCCTCCGGGAGCCATTGCTTTGCACTGTCCCCCGTCATCTTACTTCTGCCCTTTCCCACTTTTCTGCTGAGTTGCCGGCTCTTCTTCATGGGCTCCTTCCTCAGAGCTCCCCTCGCTGTGCTGTTGGCTATTCTCCAAGCACAGACAGGCCCTGGAGCCTGACGACCAAAGGCAGGTTCCAATCCTGAACCTGAGACGCTGGGCAAGTTATTTAATGGTGTTGTGTTCAGTTTACTAAACTCTGAAATGGGGTTAACAATACTACCTCCTGCAGAGCTGCTGAGATGATTATAACAGTTAAAACATTTAGAACATCCAACAGTTCCTGGCACATAAGAAGCGCTCGCTGCAAGCTAGGTATTATTATCTTGCTGTCCTAACACTAATTTCAAGCCACGCCTCCCCTGGTCTCTGAGCAGATCTTTCCCTCTGAGTTCCCAGGGGTCTTTCTCCTGGATCTTCTCTAGGGAGCCTAGAAATTTTTACCTCCCTTTAGCAATTTCTATACTATCATTTATTAGAGAAGTATACTTGCTACCTTTATTACAATGTGAGTATTTCATAATTATTTCTTCATATTTCCTTCTCCCCCCTCAGACTATAAACACTCTGAGGGCAGAATCTTTGATTATTTATGTCTTCCCACTGCCCTCAATCCATGTAATGGCTTGCATGGGGTAGGCTTTTTTTTTGTTTTGTTTTAGTGACAATTTTATTAACTTGTAATTCATATACAATACAATTCAGCCATTTAAAGTGTATCGTTCAATGGTTTTCAGTATATTCACAGAGTTGTGCAACCATCGCCACAATCAATTGTAGAACATTTTATCACCCCAAAAAGAAACCCTGTACCCTTTAGCTAATACCTGACTCTCCCCAACCTCTCCAGCCACAGGCAACCATTACTCTACTTAGTGTCTCTATAGATTTGCCTCTTAAAGATATCTCATATAAATGAAATCATATAATATGTGATCTTTTCTGACTGTCTTCTTTCACTTAATATTTTCAAGGCTCATTCATGCTGGGCATGGATCAGAACTTCATTCCTTCTTATGGCCAAATAATAGTTCATTGTATGCATATACCACATTTTGTTTATCCGTTCATCAGTTGATGGACATTTGGGTGGTTTCCACTTTTCAGCTAGTATGGATAAGGCTGCTCTGAATATTCATGCACATGTTTTTGTGTGGACATGTTTTTATTTCTTTTGATATATTCCTACGAGTAGAATTGTTGGGTCATATGGTAACTCTATGTTTACCTCCCTGAGGAACTGCCAGATTGTTTTTCTAAGTGTTGCACCATTTTATTTATGTTTTCACCACTGTGTATCTAGTTTCCTCACATCCTGCAGGTGGTAGACTTTTAATATGGAAAGAATGGAAAAAATAATTCTTTAAGCTTGATTTTCTAGTTCAGTAGATACGAAAGAAGTACTTTCTTCCAACATTTTAATTAATAGCATTTTGTATTAGAAAAATCCTTTCATCCTCAAGGGATGTTTGTGTTGCATAGGCAAGAGCTTTAAAAAGGAAGAAGGTGAGAAGGCTCATCTGCATTTAGATAAAAATACACAGCCTGATGAATTTTTCTTGGTATTGTCATTACAACAATAAGGATTTCTTAAGAGATGCAAATATGTATTGTTTTGCACGAGTAAGTCAATGCTATCTAACAGTAGAGACAAAGTACAGGATCTTGTACAAAAAGAGATATTTTTGAAAGCAAAAAGAATTGGAGTGGGGCCAAGTGATTTGAAAAAAATAAAGATCTGTCGAATTAAGCAAAAGAAAGGAGGTAGAAGAGAGCTAGTATATCAGGTGGGACATGGGAGCACTCTGTTTCTGGGGGGCTGTGGGGAGAGGGTGGTGGGGGTGCAGTTGGAGGGACCTGGGAGAAAGGCTGGTGGCACCCCTTTCTGTGTTTTAACATGACCACATTTCCAGGGGTGAGATAAGACAATGTATGAAAAGTAGAAAAATTCCCAATTCTAAAGCAGTGGTGACAAGGCTTATTTGATGTATCATGAGCTGAAGCTTATAAAGCACTTACCATGAGTCAAACACCGTGTTCAGCACTTTATATACATCACCTCAATTTAATTTTCCTAATCACCCTATGGTTTAGGTACAATTACTGTCCTCACTTTGCAGATGAGGACTCAAAGGCACACATGTTAAGAAATTGCTGATGTCTGCATCCCCTATTTATTGCAGTGCTATTTACAATAGTCAAGATATGGTAATGACCTAAGGGTCCATCTATGGATGAGTGGATAAAGGAAATGTGAGATATATATATATATATATATATATATATATATATATATATATATATATATATATATATTTCAGTCATGAGAATGAAGGAAATCCTGCATGGACAGACCTTGAAGGTATTGTGCTATGTGCAATAACTCAGACAGAGACAGACAAATATTGTATGATATCACTTATATGAGCAATCTATCTAAGAAAACAAACTTATAGAAGCAGAGAGTAGAATGGTGGTTACCTGGGGCTTGGGGTGAGGGAAATGGGGCGATATTGGTCAGGGGAGAGAGATTTCTAGTTATAAGATTAATAAGTCTTGGGGACGTATGTACAATAACATATAGCATGGTGCCTGGAGTTAATAATTGAAAGTTGCTAAGAGAGTTAACCTTAACGGTTCTCACCACACACACACAAAAAGAACTAGTAATTATGTGAGGTGATGGAGGTGTTAACAAACTCTACATTGATAATGATTTCACAACATAGTAGTTTATCAAATCAACACATGTGCACCTTAAACTGAAACTATGTGATATGGCAAGTATATCTCAATAAAGCTGGGGGAAAAATTAGAGCATTGTGCCTTCTTCTGTGCTCAGGAAAACTAGGTATTAAAAAAAGAAATGGAATCTAAAACATAAAAGAAGAAATAAAATATAGAATACATCGAAAGGAAAAAAGAAAAAGAAAGAAGAAAGAAAGAAAGAAAGAGAAAGAAAGAAAGAAAGAAAGAAAGAAAGAAAGAAAGAAAGAAAGAAAGAAAGAAAGAAAGAAAGAAAGAAGGAAAGAAGGAAAGAAAGAAAGAAAGAAAGAAAGAAAGAAAGAAAGAAAGAAAGAAAGAAAGAAGGAAAGGAAAGGAAAGGGAGGGAGGGAGGAAGGAAGGAAGGAAGGTTTGGAGGAAACTGCTCAGGGTATCAAGGCTGATAAGTGTTGAATCAGAGCTTTGTGCCCTGGAGCCAATAAGCTTCCTTGGCTGGGGCCCTCAACCACTGCACTAGGATACCTTTCCACCTATGTTTGTTTTCTTCACCTACGTTATTTGAATACAACAGTTAAAAGCACATTAACCACTTCGTGATTTTAGTTTAAATAAAATCAATTTCAATAATTGGTCAAGACACTTGATTTAATAACTTGGTTTTAAAATTAGTTGTAATGTAATGTAATGTAATGTAATGTAATGTAATGTAATGTAATGTAATGTAATATCCCAAGGAGAATACCAGAGTTGAGACAGATCTTGTAGAGCCTTGTGGACCATGCTAAGAAGATTAAGTTTTATTCCAGAGGCAGTGAGAAGCATTCAGTTTTAAGCTTTGGAGTCAAGGGGCCGCATCCGTGCTTACATCCCTCTAGTTGCAACAAGGGGGTTTGTATTGGAGGGAGTGAGAGTAAAACTGGAGATATAAATATCAGGTGAGGGATGAAAAAGAGTCTGAACAAAGACCAGAGCCTTGGGGATGGATTAGAGGGGTAGTTGGAAATGAAGGAAAGATGGAGGGATCACCAGTTGGTTGTGGGGAATGAAGATCAAGTGGAAATCTACGTTGAGTCTTTCAAGATTCTGCATGGACCACAGCGCAATTGGAGATACAAGTCACCAAGATTGATTCTAATACAATGGGATTTTGCAATAATGAATATAGTTCCCTAGAGAAGAAAAAAATTTGAATCTTCACTTTTCCATTTTGGTTTTCCTTTATAGTTCTCCCTTTGTTTTCTTTGGGTCAAAGTCATATTCATTTCATGAGACATGCCATTCTTTTTACAGAAGCAATTCCAGCAGTTTTAATACCTCAAACTTTAATTTATGCAAAGTCTACTTGTGTCCCCCTGGGTCTTTTAAAGGCAACATATTTGTACAATTCCTGGGACCCTTCAAGTTTGCCAAAGCGCTTGCAAATGCATATTGTTCAAGGAGATAAGTGACTTATGTAGAAAATTGATGGCTCCCTTGTTGAAACCCTCTTGTGATTGATTCCAGGCTGCCCTGGCAGGAGGCACCACCATGATCATTGATTTTGCCATTCCTCACAAAGGCGGTTCCCTCATCCAGGCCTTCGAGACCTGGCGAAGCTGGGCTGACCCCAAAGTCTGCTGCGACTACAGCCTTCACGTAGCAGTGACATGGTGGAGTGACCAGGTGAACCATCTAGGGGTCCAATTTCTTCCATTTAGCCCCTAGTCCTTCCTCTGTACAAGAAACTGGTAATGTCAAAACATAAGAACCTGGGTTGTTGGTTGCTTCTTGAATGACTAGAGCTCAGAATTGGAGGGAAGACCTCATTGCACAGTCTTTCGGACCTTTTAAATTTTGAATCCTTTTGAATATTGTCAATTTTTAAAACAAAAATTTGAAAAAAATCATATACAGATGACAGCAAAACTCCTTCAGAATAATTCACAATAGGCTTTTCTAATATTTACTCATGACATGTAATTGTAAAAAGTATCCATCTCCTTTTTTGTCAACTTGGAGATTTCCAGACTCTTTTAAAACAGTATTTTCCCACAGATTAGAACTTCAATTAGAAATGTTTAATTTTTGGAGAAAAACCAAGGAAATTCCCATTTAAAACTATATGCCTCTATTCCCACTCTCTTAGTCCCCACCACACACGCACACACCATTCCCATTCCCCGCCCCCCAAACCTTTTTTTCTCTCCTGTGCACTTGAAAGAGCAAAGGACAGACTGGGAACGTTTTCAAGGCCTCCTTGTCCCATCTGTCTCCTAACCCGGTACCCTTTCTACGCAGCTCTGCTAATATCACCACCTGGTCAAATCATTTCATAATGGAGCTCAAAGCAACCTTCCATGTCTACTAATTACTTAGGCCATGGTACAAATGATAACATGATTCAGACAAGAAAGATAGTTTGGAGAGATGGTAAAATGCGACCATTTTACCCCATATACATTTGTGTGTGTACTTTAGAAAATTTTTTTTACTTGTGATTCAAATCAACATGTTTTTCCACATTGAACTTAATTTTTACCAGGAAGCGTTCACAAGGTGACTTTATTTGAAGTTACCATGTAACTTATGTCCCCACTTTCCCCTAAAAATTGGGCTTTAGACACCAAGTTAATATAAAACAAGTAATCAATCTTTAACACCTAGCTCAGCAAATATAATAGCCAGGTTTATAGTCCACAGCTTAAGTTAATTTTTCTACAAAAATGTCATCCTAAGTGATGTGTCTGATCTCTTTGGTGCTTTTAGGGCCTTCCTGACTTTCTTCTTTCCTCCCATCCTCCATTCCTTCCTCTCTTGTTTTATAAGATAGATCAGAAGTGATGATGTTTGCCCTTACCAGTGCTTCTCACGCTTAAATATGCAAATGGTTACCTGGTGATTATTTTTAAAATACAAATTTTGTTCAGTAAGTGTATTAGTTTGCTAGGGCAGCTGTAACAATGTGCCATAAACTGGGGAACTTAAACAATAGAAATGTATTGTCTCACAGTTCTGGAGACTAGAAGTCCAAGATCAAGGTGTGGGCAGGTTGACTCCTTCAGAAGCCAGTGAGGGAGAACCTGTTCCATGCCTCTGGGTGGTTTGCTGGCAATCTTCGGTGTTCCTTGATTTGCAGAAGCATCACCCCATCTCTGCCTTCATTTTTTGGTGGTGTTCTCCCTGTGTGTATGTCTGTGTCTAAATTCCTCTTTTTAATAAGGACACTAGTCTTATTGGATTAGAGCCCACCCTAATGACCTCACCTTAACTAATTACATCTGCAATACCCCTATTTCCAAATAAGGTCACATTTGGTACTGGGAGTTAGGGGTTCAACATATGAATTTTGGGGGGACACAAGTCAACTCATAATAGTAGGTCTGGGTGGGGCCTGAGATGCTGCATTTCGAGCAATCTCCCAGGTGAGGCTGACATGGCTGGTTCAGGTACCACACTTTTGGAGTAGCAAGGCTTAGGCTACTGTGCCTGGGAGTCGTATAATGGGACTTACCCATGGAAGTGGATGATGGGGTGATGAATGAGGTCACCTTCAGAAAGGCTCTTCTACTCGGCGAGTCATAGGTACTTCATCTGAGCAATACAGATCATACGTTTCTTTGGAAGCCCATCATGTGAATTTGCTAATAATGCTCAAAGCATATTTTTTTCTGGCTATAAAAGTAATATACTTAAGATGGAAAATTTGAAATTATAGAGAAGTTTTTTTAAAAAGAGAGGCACAGTAACACTCTAAACCCTTTCATAATTTAAAGTATTGTATCTGCAGCAATTCATCAGATGAAAATAGGGGTCTACCATGGGGCAAAGATCAAGGTTTTCATTGCATTTTTTCTGGAATGAAACTGTTGTCCTTGTTTTCCTTAATTCCCTTCCAAATGCAGTGTTTTAGAGAAAGCTGAAATTGTCTTTAAATTAAACAGTGACATTTTCTTATTGTTGTTCCCTTTGAGGTTAAAGAAGAGATGAAAACCCTTACCCAAGAGAAAGGTGTGAACTCTTTCAAGATGTTTATGGCGTATAAAGATCTGTATATGTTGAGAGATCCGGAGCTGTACGCGGCCTTCTCTCGGTGCAAGGAAATTGGAGCAATCGCTCAGGTCCATGCGGAGAACGGAGACCTTATTTCAGAGGTAAGAAACTGCATTCCAGAGCTTCTCCAGAAACGAAAATGATCATAGCTTACGGTGAAGGTGACTGGCCCTAAGTAGGTGAACTCACGTAATGCGTTGGAAGAAAGGAATTTTCTGCAGCTTGGAAACACTTGGTTTCTTTTCCTTGGGTCCCTGCTCTGAGTTGTATTCAGATTACGCATTTAAATGAGGATTTCCCGAAGGGATGAGACAATACAAATTGGTAATTGTAATATGGCCTCAGGGATAGAAAAAGACAGTCCAAGGAATATAATCTATAATGTTGTAAGTATTTCTTAGGGGGCCAGATGGACCCATGTCCTTTTGGGGAGTCCACTTCATAGTCGATGTAGAGGTCTGACCACCGCATTGTATTTCTGAAACTGATGTTGACTAATACTGTATGTCAACTATAATTATATATATACATATAGTCTCGGGACATGGAGTAGAGAGCGGGAACGGATTCAATGGAATTGTAATAGATAAGCATGATATGGGGGTGGGAGGGCAATCGATGGAGGGAGGGGGGTTGTTACCTGGTGAGGGTGAAAAGGGTAACTATTGTATTGTTCTGTACACCTGAAACTAACAATAAAAAAATAAATTAAAATAAATAAATAAATAAATAAATGAGGATTTCCCCCTTTCAAACCGTTAGATGTCAAACATGTTTTATTATAAAAACACAAATATTTTTCTTTGTGTATTCCAACACTATTTTTTTTTTAAAGTAGCTCAGGCTGCTGGTTCGGAATGCCAAAATATGGACATCAGCTTAATCTGATGACTTAAGCAGTGTGTTAGGTAGCTGTTCAACTCCTACTCTTTTCAGAAACTGGGTATTAAAATGTGCTCTGGAGGAATCTAGATGATATTGATTTCTCATATTAGTTCTGTTATTAATGCCCGAAGGCTGCGCCATCTGCAAGATTTAAAGAACTGTCTCTTACCCTTTATGTTAGCTGAATTTTTTCTCTCCCTGGGCTCAGTTCCCATTAAAGTCAGTGAGACCGAGGCTCCGTGGCCAGGAGGCAAGGGGGATGAGAGGAGGCCGCGAGCTGTAAACTCGAATAGACCAGGGTTTACACTTGACTTCCTACATCCTAGCTGTGTGACACAGGGCTAGTCATTTTCCACTTGGAGCCTTGACTTCCTGCTTTCCTTATAAGGAAGAAATAACCTTTTAGAGAGGGGAAATAACTGGTCCAATATCATTCAGTGGGTCGGGGGAGAGAATAGTGAAGGCTGATTCAGTAAAAAGTAGAACTAACTACATAATGTAATACCATGATTCACTTCAACAAGGGTCCAGTACTGGAGATTAGCATATTTCATTTTATTTCGCTTGTTCTGAACCAATAAGTCTTAAATATAAACATTGCTTTTCAAAGGATGTGATCACAACTAACCTCCTAGCTTTTTCACCTTTCAATCACGATAATTTGTGAAATGTGTACATGAAAATTTTACATATACTATCAGAGTATTAAATTTATTGTTACCTAATGCACACACTTTGCGTATACACATACTCACACACACACCTATGCCTGATAGATCCAAAAGCCTGTCAGTGTATTTATTTTACAATACAATAATGGCATTTGTCAACCTTCCTTGCACATGTATATGTTCCTGTTGCCTTTTTTAGGGAGCAAAGAAGATGCTGGCATTGGGGATAACAGGCCCCGAGGGCCATGAGCTGTGCCGGCCAGAAGCAGTGGAGGCAGAGGCCACGCTGAGAGCCATCACCATCGCCAGCGCCGTGAACTGCCCTCTCTACATCGTGCACGTGATGAGCAAGTCTGCAGCAAGGGTGGTAGCAGATGCAAGGAGAGATGGTAATTCCTGCACTATCTAACCTCACTTGTAACTCTGTACTAGCTGAAGAGTCAGGTAAAATACCTAGAGCCTCTCTTTTGCTGATGAGAAGGTTGCACATGAATTTCCATAACTGTTCTTCCTCCCTTGCCATCCTGTCTGTTTTCTTTCGTCCTGATGCATGTCTATTGTTGGTTTGTTTTTTTTCAAAGATTTTATTGGGGAATTGGGGGAGGGGTACAGCGTTGGGGAATCTTTAAAAAGAAATTAAGATAGGAGTTTATTTCTTTTTTTTTAAAGTTTTTGTTTTTTTTTTTTAAATTGGGGAATTGGGGGATGGGAACAGCGCTGGGGAATTGGGGGAAGGGGAACAGACAAGTTGCTGTCCTTTTGTTCTTCAGTTTAGTTGTAGAGGAC